CTGCCACAGCGTTATCTGGGCACAGATAAGGCTCCCCCCTCCCCTCCATTCCCAGGATATCACAGCTCGCCCCAAATGGAAGGCAGGAGATTAGACACAGCCTCCTGCAACACCGATAACTGCTGGCAGGAGCCGTGTCCGGGACACGCCGCTCCGCTCACCGCAGCCATCTCAGGGTGCTGTGTTTGCTCAGGGCACGGGAAAATAACTCAACCATTAACATCCAGCTTGTTTTGATTCCTGGCTATTCTTAGCTCAGTTGGGACACAGAAGCTTGCAGGGATGTCCTGTTATCTCAAATTTACAGCCCTGTACAAGCCGCAGCACGAGATCTCGGTGAGAGCTCCCAGTCCAGCCCTCCAAGAGCGGATCACACTCTGGAAAGGGGCGATCCAGGCTCAGCAGGAGCATTTCTCTCCTGGTCCTGGACTTGAGACTGAGGTTGGCTAAAAGGAATAATTCACAGCCTGGTTTAGCAAAAGGGCTAAAAACTCTGCAGAAACAGCCATGCTCATCTTCTCAGCGCACTCATCTCCCTCCCAGTGGTGGTCAGGAGGACTTTACTCATCATCCCACCTCATCTAGGTCCACCACAAGATCTGCATGGACCAATCCCCTCATCGGCCCCAGCCTTGGGCATCCTGGAGCAGCCCTGAGCATCAGCCCAAGCCCCTGCACAGTCTGTTCATCACTTGCATTCATGCCAGACCTCGGCAAAGCTGACATGCAGCAGGACAACGCGAGGCAGCTCTAGAAATAACTTTCATGTGCCAAACCACCTGTTCCCAGAGCAGCGCCGCTTCACTTCTCCTCCTGCCAGGCGTCCAAGAACAACTGCTCCTGGCTACATCTGTTGAGTATTTATTACCCGGGATGGGTAGGACAGGCTTCAGGATCGCTTATTCAAGATGCTGAATCTGGGACTGGAATCCACAAGCACGGGAAAGACGCATTACAGAAGGGGCACCTCTGCATGCCCGTGGCTCCAGGGGCGGGGAGTCGTCAAACCTCAGTTCTGAGCAGTGACTCAGAAAGTGCTTTTTGGAAATGAATGAAGTCAGAACTCAGCCCCATCTGCCTCGGGTTCACTGCCTGCTTCTGCCATCCTTGCTCCCTTCCCTCTGATGGATACGAGGCTTGGCCCTATGCACCCCTCTGCAGCACCATGCCCTTCATCTCTGCTCCCCCTTGAATATCAGTTCCTGGTCCTACTTCTTCCCCAGGCTCAGAATGGTCCAGCACCCAAGACTTCATCCAATCCTCTTGCAACACAAGAGCAGAGATTCCCTCCTGCCCACAACAGCACAAACATGCTTTTGTAAAAGCTCATTTCTACATTTCCTTTCACCTCTTCTCTCATACATCACCAGATCCCACAGAGCATTCGCTGAGGAACAGCAACAAAACCAGGACTGTTAAGGGGGAACACAAGAAAAAAAAGTAGCTCTAGGAAATATTTATCCATCCTCTGCACAGT